AGTGGCCCTAGGGTTGGGCTACCTCAGACAGGTGGGATGCAGGCAGGCAAGGAGAGACAGTCCATGAAAAATCTCCTCTCAGAGTTCATGGTTCTGCGTTCTGTGCAGAAGCCTACCATCAGAATAAATCTGTGGCTCTCTGGCCCTCTGTCTCATGCCCTTGCAATCTTATTCTCCTGGCATTTCTATGTCATCTCATTCGTTACATCTCACATCCCTTTGTTAATTGCTTTATGGCATATTTATTTTTCCAACATCTTACATCAGTCAGAGAATCTCATTGGCCCAACTCATCTTTTCATGCCCTGCTATACACACCAGTCACATGTCTGACTGTTGTCTGATATTGGGGAAGATGCACAATCAGCTATGGAGTGGGGTGGCACTTCACTCATACTGCGTGTGCTGGACTTGGTAGTAGCTGTAGGTGTGACAAATTTTCAATGCCTATGTTGTTCAATAAAGATGAATAAGTTTTGGGTGGATTTATTTATCTTTTAATAGTGTTCTTGAGAAAGCTATGCCAGTCTGATCGCATATTGCCCCAGAACTTAAATTGTATTCCAACCCTAAGTCTCGGAGTTCAATAATCATGAGAGGTTTATCTAACATCCTTGTGCAGCAGACGGGGAGCGAGGGAGAGCTCAGTGGTAACTGCTCCAAAGGACCTGGGGTCAGCACTTCCTGACTCCTCAAATTTCTCCACTCCACATGATAAAGTCACTCTCTTTATCAAGGAAGTCCTCTACTTCAGTCTTTGTGCTAGGGAGAGTGATTAAGGAGGCAGTGGAATTAATCTGACATCTCCTTTCTCTTGTTCCTGCTCTAGCGGAGAGGATGCTATCTTTCCACCTACGGTCACACACATTCTTAGTGGGCAGGGAAAGAAAGAGCTTTTGTGTTTCAAGCAAATTGAAGAGGCATACCATGGCCCTTAAGGGAAGGAGATATAAACTATCTTTGGCTGATGAGGAGGAAGATGTGAATACGACACAGTCCTGTCTGCAATGAACTCATGGTCTATGGACAAGACAGACAAGTAAATAAAAGTCACTCGATAGCATTATGAGTGTGATTAGAAGTCTTCACAGGTTCCCAAAGGGAATAAACAGCTGGACACATAACCCCGACTAAGGGTGAGGATCAGGAAGATTTCTTGGAAGAGTAATTTCCGAGCTCATTGATGGTGGAAGTATAGCAATTACAAAGTAGTGGATGGAGTAGGGTGTCTTCCAGGCAGAGGGAACAACATTTGCCAAGGCAAGGAGGCCAGATGAGTTTGGGGAGAATCAAATCTGTTCTTTGACTTTCATATTATGAGCTTCCTTGTAAAGGCCCTTCGCGATTTGTCACCTAATCACTGCCTCATGCATCCGACTAACACTCACTCTCCTGACGAATGTGAGTCTCCCAGAGGACAGACACTGGCAGATACACACTCTGACTGAAAAGTGGATTTCACAGAAATCTTCGGGAATTGAGATGCCACCCCAGGAAGAAATGGAGTGGGAGAAGACAGGCTTGAATTAACTGAGTTCATCTGAAAAGTTCACCTGAAGAGACAGAAATCACTAAATTGACTGAGTTCACCCAAAAGTGACCAGACTTCACTGGGTGAAAGGGAAGCTTGGGATAAAAATTAAGTTCTGTTAGAAAAATAAAGTTGACTTTTGTACCTAAATATGTGGTTTATAAAACTTGCACCTACAATATAAACCTCTTATAGACCAAAAGTGTTTTGGGTTTTTTTTTGAGAAAGATTAGCCCTGAGCTAACTGCTGCCAATCCTTCCCTTTTTGCTGAGGAAGACTGGCCCTGAGCTAACATCCATGCCCATCTTCCTCTACTTTATATGTGGGATGCCTACCACAGCATGGCTTGCCAAGTGGTGCCATGTCTGCACCCGGGATCTGAACCAGCGAGCCCCGGGCCCCCGAAGCGGAATGTGTGCACTTAACTGCTGCGCCACCGGGCCACCCCCCCATAAGTGTTTTAAAAAATATATTTGGACCCCGAAAATTATTCATTAAGAGACTCATTGAATTTGAACACGCTACTCAAAATAGGAAGAAACCTATCATTTAAAAAAATGAGAAACCTGAGACCTACAGAGCTGAAGTGACGTGTTTAGGATCCTAGAGCAAATGGAGAGGAGATAACTAGCCTGGATTTTCTAAATAAACCTTCTTCCATCAATTCTGAAAATGTCTGAGTGTGAGTATTTAGGTTTTTAAAAGAGACGGCAAGCCTTAAACGAATTCTAAATGATAACGAGAATACGAAAGTAGAGAAATTAGAGTAAAAAAAGTAAGAGCAATCCGAGGGAGAGGATAATTTTTAAAGTTATTTTGTGAATGGATAACCATTTAGTTCGGTTGAGTGCCATTATTCAACAACTGAAACGCAAAAGCTACGTTGAGACCTTCATTCCGGAGAAGCCGTCTTTTCACACTGTGTTTCTGCTTACTTCCTCAGAAACATCAAATATACTCTGCGGTTACAACAATAACAGAAACTACTTTTTCCTCCAAATAAATGTTGCATCAGTTCCTCATTGCAGTAATTGTTTCACTATATTTCTTAATCTCATGTCAAATAGTACTTTTTTTGGTCTTTATCTTTGTGGAATTTTGTCCTTGGATGATAGTTATATATAAATATATAAAATAAGATTTGGTTTAGAAGGACTTCAAGGTATCTATTTTCAATCCCCATGACTCTGCTCTTAATGCCCATGGAACAGTGGTTTGAAAGCTGGTGGTAAAAAAAACGAGCACAATTGAATCACATTCTCCATTACCTTCCATTATAAAATCAAATACTAATTAGGACAGAAAAAAGTGTTTTATTCCAGGGATAATAATCACACTTTAATATATTAACAAACATATTACCTATTTAAACTAGAACAGTTCTTTGATAAGACAATCATACTCAAGCTAAGATGCAAGGTACCAGCATACTAAAATTTCAAAGTGTCAATTTTAATTTTAATATTTGATATTTACTTCTCTTATTGGCACAGGACCAATGAAGAGGGATGTGTTGCATTACTCTTACACTCTGAGACTTTCAATCTAGCTCAGGGAAAATACTAGTAGAAATCTTTTTTAATTAAAAAGCAATTTTAACATCTAATTATATTTAATGAGGTTATTCTATAATAAAAAAACAAATGCTCATTATCCATGAGGACACTACACATTTGTTAAACTGAGATATTCAGTAAAACAGATACATTTAAAAGACACCAGCCACATAGAAGACATTTTTTAACAAACATGCTATAGCCTTACCTCTATTTTTGAAAATCTAAACAAAGGATTTTTAACAAGTGCAATCTCAGTGACTTTGGGGTTACGTACATTAATAGTTTATTTCCCATGGGTCTCTGGGAGTCAACCAAGAACAACGAAGAAAGGAAACTAGGCCCCTGGGTTATTAAAATAGTGGTCAAAATATTTTATCAAAATTTGATAAATTTATAAAACTCATCAAAATATTTTCTTCTACTTTAGACAAAGTTGTAAGTATCTTGATTATTTTACTTCTAAATCCACAGTAGACTCAAATCTAGTCTAAATTACAAAGGAGGCACAACATTTGTTTATTAGGTTTTATATTGCACTCAGCACAGTTAAAGCGGAAGAGAATAAACAGGGCAAGCCATTGCAGAGGACGCTACTTTAGCAGTATCTTCTTTACACAACACTCCCTTGCTAGTACAGTCTACACTGAACCCTAGCTTTGTTTAAGAAGAATCAGAAACAACACTATTAAGGTCTACATGTAGGGATTTAAGGTCTCTAACTTTACTAAGTGGCACCCCCTTTTCCTTTTCATTGAAAACTCCACAAGTTAAGCAGTTTTTATCTTCCATTTTCCACAGACTTGGACTTCCCTGATCCCTGGGGTATGACCCAGGGCATCTTTATCAATTAGATGTGAAGTTCATTTTCTTCAGCCCAGGGATCACCAGCTATTGACAACTTCTGAAATGGAGGAAGGCTGGAGTGATATGTACAAAAACACTGAAGAGAGACCTTAAGAGGCTACAGCTACCCCTGGAAGGAGGAGGTCTTAAAATAGCCTCAGCAGGTGTACGATGCTCTAAACATCTGAGGGTGAAAGGTCGGTGGTGATAACTTTAGTCCTGCTGGTTTCTGGACTAGGTCCAGCCAACACGGTGGTGAAGCGACTAGTGAGAAATTCGCAGGGAGGGAGCAATTTATCTTTTCTTTACGAATTGATCATTGTAACGATAACTGCGCCTTCAACATGGTGGATTTCCTGAATGAGAGTCATCTTTATTTCAAAAAGCCTATTAGTTGGTCTTTTTTAAACCAAACTCATATTTTTTTTTTTTTAAGATTTTATTTTTTCCTTTTTCTCCCCAAAGCCCCCCGGTACATAGTTGTGTATTCTTCGTTGTGGGTCCTTCTAGTTGTGGTATGTGGGACGCTGCCTCCGCGTGGTCTAATGAGCAGTGCCATGTCCGCGCCCAGGATTGGAACTAACGAAACACTGGGCCGCCTGCAGCGGAGCGCGCGAACTTAACCACTCGGCCACGGGGCCAGCCCCAAACCAAACTCATATTTTGTATTAATATAAAAAAATCCATAGATAATCAATGACAGGGGTAAAAATTAAAAAGTTATCAAATTATTTGAAGAATACAGACATTTTAGAATATAATACGTGAATAATTTTAGTAAGAGGTCACATTTTTCTTTTTCACTCTAAAAAGCATAAAATGGATAATTTCTCATTTTTTCCTAAATCAACAAAAGGGTATATGAGAGTAGCTAATAAGATATAGATGTTTTAAATATATATAGTCCAAAAGCAATAAAAATGCAAAAAGCAGTAGCTCTCACTAGTACATTTAAAATTAAAATTGCTGTTTCATTCACTTCTTCCCTGTGTGGTCTCAAACTCACTTTTACCCTATCTTTAGCATATCCTAATACGAAATAGAGACTATGCAGATGAAATAGAAATTTTTGACTTTCAAACATTTAGAATTATTTTACTGCTTTATCGGTACTGTAAGAAATTCTGCAATAACGTTGGCAGCTGGAGCTGTGGCATCAGGTGTAGTCTTGATCTTCCTATGTAGTTTCTGATGCAGAGTCGGCAAAGCTGGCAAAGAGAGCTTGGGGTAGCTACAAAAACATGAAAGTGTTTGTTAATTAAGATCAAAATGGATTCTTATATGTTGTAAGACACATGAAATCAAACCATAACAAACTACAACGGTTTCTAGTAAACTAGGGTAGTCTGACCACTGTGGTAGGGAAAGTTATATACGCATTTATATTGCTTTTACTTCTAAGATTTTATTATAATGAGGTATATTCTATATAAGTTCTCTAAAACATTATAATCTTCAGGCTTATGAAATTATTGTTCCATTTAATGCCTCCGAAACAAATTCTGCTTTCTGAAGGAGGCAGAAATCAAAAGCCCCAAGAAGTGTTACGCCCTAAAGGGGGAAATTTTTAAATTATATTTTGTCTCGAATTAGGTTTACTATTTAAGCCAAAGCAAATTTCATTATAGCGTCTGGACCAGGCTTAAGAAATTCTGTGGTAGAACAAAGTGTGAAAATATTTCCTGACAATATTTCTAGGACACTTTAGAGAAAGCACATGCACTTATAAAATGGGGCGGATTTCTAAGTATGGATTAGCAGATATCAAACAGAATAATATATTATGTACTGTTAAAACAAACAAGAATTAACTTAACTACAAGAAAATAAAGTTTAGGCAAGATGGAAAAAAGAAAAGATCATCGTGATATCTTCTTTATGGATAAAACCTAAGTTAAAAAATTTTCTACTTTCACAAAAAATATTCCAACTGCTATGCCATTATTAGTTTACATGCCAACAAAGTGTCTTGGAACTTCATCTATTTCAGGCAAATGTATCTTGTGTTGTTAAACACCCGTGGGCTCTCTTCTCACCTTCATGTTGCAGCAGTAATCTTTCCAGAAGACCGCCGGTGGTAGCTATGTCCACAGGCCGCAGAAGCTCTGTATTTTTGGCATTGATATCTGCGCCAAACTCCAGCAGTAAGTTGACAATTTCTACGCTGGACTGTTGAGCAGCAGCGTGCAATGGAGTATCCCAATATTTGCCTTTTTGGACATCAGCACCTACATGTAAATAAGGAATGATGATAAATACAAACAAAAATTGTTAGACGAGTCGCTTACCTCAGCTCGGGGAGGAAGGTGTGACACAAAGAGGACCCCAACTCCATCTGTAGTGAGTTCTTTATATATGTATACACATATACATATACTAAATCTTAAACCTGGTTACCTCTGGATGGAGAGTGCAGACGTTTGTTATATTCTCTGATATTTTTCGCTATGCTTGAAAGATCTCCTAATAAAAAGTTTAAAAAATGTTTTAAACAGTTCCCAAAGTAATCCTATTAACTATTATTATGAACAGTGCACAATTAGGTTCACTCATATCTATTTTAATCAAGATTGATAGCTTTTAGGATTATTCGAGAGCTTCTTGCTCTTATTATTTTCATTTATTCTAAGGCCATGGAGCTCTTTTGTTTCTTGGAAAACTCATGAATCTAGATATGTGAGCTATTTAGGTGAAATATATGTAGATTTTCCTACCACTTCTCACTCTTGTAGTTTAAGTCAATAACTACATGAAGGCACTGAGCCTCTTAAAGGGAAAGGCATGTTATATTTCTGCATGCAAAGTAAGCTTTTAAAAAATGCTTACATTAAAAAAAAAAACCTTATATGTTAAATGACCTATTGCACAGTTATTTTATCTTAGTGCAAGCTGTGGCACATGGTGGTCGTTCAACGCATGGGCAACAAATAAATGCTGCTAAATATTGTAAAGAATAATAATCCCATTTTCCAGTACATAAATGGTTACCACCCCAAGAAATGTCTATCAATAAAAATCCTTATGTCCTTTTCAACTCTGTTTTCTGATACTATCAATAAAACCAATGATGTTTATAAGAAGCAGTACATTTTAAGTCTCTTTATGACCCTCTTGCTACTTTCAAGTTTCAATGAATGTAATGGTTTTCAATATTTTTTAACCAAATATAAAATGTTTAGTGGCAAAATTATATTCCATGACAAGATCTCCATAGAGAAAGCATCAACTCCATTGGTTATATCAATTTTATGGGAGAACAGAGCCTGAGAATAACAATCAATCCACAATTACTGACAGGACTTTTTCAATATTTCTTTTACCCAATATAAAATATTTGGTGAAAAGAATAATATTCCTAGCAAAGTAAAGAAAAGTAATAAAGAATAAACTCTTCTAGTTATAGAGATTTATGGGAGAACACAGCCAGAAAATAACAATGTCAATGATTATTAGCGGAACACATGTTTAAGACTCTTACTAGATGCGATGGGAATCAAACAGTAGATGCAGATACCGCTTGCAAGAAGTTTATAATTTAGCTAAGATAATATGAGTAACACATAAAGGAGTTAATAAAAATATATATCAGAGGCCAGATGATTGTCATAAACAATAAAAAGCATACTAATGCATTTACTCATTTCATATACTTTTTCAGCACCTACCACATGACAGGCACTGTGCTAGAGAAAAGAGATGATGAGAAAAAAGACATAATCCACATCTTACAAGAGCTCCCAGTCCCGTAGTGGGAGAGACCACTGTGGTCTCAAAAGATTAGGAAAAGTTTCTCAGGAGGATAAGCTTGAGGATCTTAATTTTATGACCTTTTATAAGTAGGACATTTGGAGCTTTGAGATGAAGTGGAATTATTAAGAATAGTGTTCTTTGTATGGCTTCTATACTTATGTGTTTTAAAGGAGCTTAGAGAAATAAATATGGATCTGAACAATTGCTTGCATCAATGGACAAAATGGAAGATATTTTAAAGAAAATTACCTGCATAAAGAAGCTTCCGAACGCAATGGAACTGCTGTGATATACAAGCTACATACAGAGGAGTTCCCAAATGAGGAATGTCTTGGTCAACGTCTATGCCCCAGGAGATCAGTATTTCTAGACATTCATGGTGACCTGACAACACAAAGTAGAGATGAGTTTACTTTTCCTTAATGCCCACCCCTGCCACACACACTTCACCTCATGCTTCTCCACACAATGTTATTCATTGACAGATAAATGGAGCACTGCATGTTGCTGCAGGAACTTTCTCCCCTTGTCACTTGATCCCATAACTGTTACCTTTACTGGCAGCCTCATGGGTGGGAGAAGGAAGACATGACTCCAGCTGGGGTTTGGCACCATATTCCAAAAGAAGTTCTGTACAGCTGGTACTGCCTTGTGAGCATGCATTGAATAATGGAGTCACACCATCTATTGTGATTGCATTTACCTAAACCAAACCAAAAATCTAAGAATGAGATTCACAGAATCATATGTGATTGACTGTTAGACATTTTTAAAAGTTATGTGATCTGCTAACAGAAATAATTGGGAAAATGTGTGCAGTAAATATGACAAAGCATATTTATCTCATACGGATCAATAAGCAAAGCTTTAACACTTTAAGAGATAAACAGAAATATAATGTGGTAGATAATTCACAGGAGTGGGCATGCAACTAGTGAAAATCATGAAAAAAATACATAAGAATCAAATATAGAAAAACTAATTCATTGGTTAGGTACTTTGCAGTTAGAAAAAAAAGTCAACAAATGTGATGGTGATGAGAGTCATGATGAAGCTGCTTTGTTGGTGGCAATTTTAACTGGAAATTCTGTTTCTGAGAATTTTTCCAAAGAAAATCATCCGAAGATGGGCAAACATTATAGGCATAAAGATGTTCATCTACTGCTATTTAGAATCAAGAAAGCAGGAAATAGTCTAAAGAATATTCTATTTTAAGCAGCATGCGACCCATTTTTGCAACGATTGGAAATCCTTCTTAGAGTGCAATGAGAAGGCGGAGGCAATCTGAGAGCTTTATTTTTATTCTGCTATTTTTGAAACTACTAGGAAGGAAAGAAAAGCAAAATCAGAACTTTGCTTGATTCTCTTAGTCAGTACATGTGAAATTGTTAATGCTTTTAAAAGGTACTTACATTAGCTCCAGCTTCCAAAAGAGTTCTGGCACAGGCCACATGATCTCCAAGGCAGGCTTCATGCAATGGGGTGATATGGTCTATGGTCACTGCATTTACATTATAACCCTAAACACAACATGAATAATATTGAAAAGTGAGCAAAAAGTCATAAAATCGTCTCTATGATTGTGCTTAGAGAGTAGTATAAAAGCTCAGAGAATCTCATGAAAATCAAGTTTCAGTTTAGCAGGAATGGCCAGCTCAAACGCCATTGAGTCATTCGGTTGTCAAAATTCCTGAGCCCCATTATTCTAACACTATTTAAACCCAATACTGCCTTAAGCATTGTGTTCAATAGATTCTGAGTGTTTTCTTTAAATTTTGCTTTTTTAACTTTTGGTCTTTGTGAATTATTTTGGTTGTTATTGTTATTTTGTTTTTTATTTTGTAGAGCTAAAGACCGTTTATAGGCTGGATCACTTATTTTGATTGGGGCTATAAAATTATGGGTCAGCCCTGAATGGGAGGAAAAATGTTAAATTATAGTAAACTGCTTTGTGAATTTTTGTCCCTAGATAGGTGACTAGGCTCCATGCTGGTGGTTAAGAGCTCTGACTGTGGAGTCGGTTGGACTTGAGTTTGATCTTGCTCCATAATGCAGTAATTGTTTTAATCTGGACAAGTATAATATCTTCTAAATTTTAGGATTATCACGAATATTACATGAGATGATGCATGTAAAACAATTATTATAGTGCCCAGAATATAGAAAATATTCGATTTTATTTTATCATTCAATCAAAAGTATGTAAACACTTTAAAAAATTTTATTCCAATTAAACCAATGACATCAGACTAAAATTAAATATTATTAGGACATGAGATTCTTTGCCTTCTTGCTATTTTTGGTAATTCATTGTCTATTGACAATCATATTAAGCACTGTAACAGGAATATGTTCATGGCCAAATCCTCATAGCATATTACAGATTACCATGATCTGTAATACAAGAATGGACACAAAGAATCTTAAAATGAAGGCAAGATAATAAATAATCACCCCAAATCTTTGTCACTAGCAGGTGGCAATATTTTTGATGAGGAAGATTGGCCCTGAGCTAACACTTGTTGCCAATCCTCCTCTTTTTGCCTGAGGAAGAGTGGCCTTTAGCTAACATCAGTGCCAGTCTTCCTCTATTTTGTATGTAGGACACCGCCACAGCATGGCTTGATGGGTGGTGTATGTCCACACCTGGGATCCAAACCTTCAAACCCCGGGCCACCAAAGTGGAGTACACTTAACCACTGTGCCACTGAGCTGGCTCTGCAAGTAGCAATTTTTAAGATCCCTTAAATTATCCTGTCAAAGATTTCAAATTGGCTGGCCAAAAGTCAGGCTTGGCGAGCTAATTCCTAACTGCTGTTCACTAGGCTGACCCGATGACAGAAGCATCTGCGAAGGTCAAGATTCTCTTTCACACAGGGCTTTGGGGACAGCCTCTGCTTCTTTTAGGCTGGCCTGTCGGTGGATACGAGATCCATGTTGAGAAATATCCTAAGACAGCTCTTCTCTCAAAGAACTAACTGCATGACCCTTTCGGGGGTGGGTAGCCCTTAGAAATTACTGACCTTTTGACAGCATGGTCACATGGTTATCATGGAACTGGAAGGCCCTACAGGAGCATCTTGTCCTACATCTTCACTTTACAGATGAGAAAATGGAGGGTCAGATAGGGTGTGGTTCCCCTCCAGTGCCAGCCTGGAATCCAGGTCCTCTGAGTCCCAGGGCAGTGCTGTTTAAACTGGACAACACTACCCTTCCTTCCCTCATAGCCAGCTGAGAAAATTCCTTCCTCCTTGATATTGGAAGAACTGGAGCAATACCTTCCAGATCTGGGTGTGCATTTGAATCATGTTGGAAAATTTTAAAAATGCACAGGCCAAGCCAGAGATTTTTCTCTTTCAGTAAGGAATCTGTTTTCCCTCTTCTGTGTATGATGAGCAGGCAGGTGTAGGAATGATTGTTCTGTAGCTTTCAGACAAAATTCCTCATAACAAATTCCATAATGTAAAAAAGATTGTTGAGGCATCTGGTCTGATTACCCCTTTTTGGATATTTTATGACTAAACTAAGTCTGTGATCAGCTGTCTACATTGTACAGAATTAAGCATACTTAAAATGCTTAATGAATAATACATACATCGGATTGCTTCTTGCTTTAATATGTCTATCAATGAACAAATATACTGTATGGGAAATTTGAAATACTAAGACATAAGATTATACCAAAATATTTATAAAGAAATTTCAAAGATAATTGAGAAACTATGGACTTGACTGATAGATGAGTTAAAATAAGACCAGTAAAATTTATTAAGCAGTTTTGTTATTTTTGAGCTCATTACTTTTGACAATTAACGCCTATGCTCATGGGCAGGGCATGTTTTAGGCAGTATGTAATATTTCACCTGTGATAACAACGTTCTCAGAGCAAGAAGTCGACCTTGACTTGCCGCTTCATGTAGTGGCGATCGATCTGCCCAGGAACCTGTCAGGAAAGACAGAAAACAAAATCTATCAGTCAAAGTCAACCCTGATAGATACAATCAACTCCTGTGAAATATGCACTCTCCAGATTCGGTGTGCAAGAAGGTGACCAACACACTTATCCACATACCAGGAAATTCGGTTCTTCTCTGAAGGATCCAGATTGGCAGTTTCCAAATCCAGAGGGCCACAACGCATATTCTGGAAATGAGCTACCCCAGACTTACTGTACCTTTTGAATTATCCTCCAAAGAGGAGGAGAGTTAAGGTGACTAGATCTGCCACATGCACTGAAAAAGCTCTGTTTCGTGGTTTTTCAGACAGGACCCAGGGAAGCAATTTTTCTGCATGTTTAGCAGGGACAGCCGCTGGAACACCCAGCTCTCCTCACTCCCAGCCCACTCTGCTGTCCCCCTGCTGTCCACACCCCAGGCTGCCCTGCTCTGAAGGGCAAGGCGGCTGCACATGCTGCTAAGGAGGGTGAGTAGCTCGTCCCTGAGTCCTGAACTGTGGAACCAGCTGGGTCGGCCCTAGAAAGGGGGTGTCACAAGTTGGGAGGAGCAGACAGGCATCGGTCTTTGCAGTGGTGGTGACAGTGCCACTGGCTCACTCAGGGGTCACCGATTCTCTGTGTGCCAGTGGTCGGTGGATGGCGGCACGGAAGCCCTCCAACTATGTGCCCTAGTGGAAAAAGCACTGATGTGTCATGCACCCCCGCACAGGCATTTTCCACTCCTCCAATGAGAAACATCAGTGCCGTCCCAGCCACCTCCCCGAGGTACAGGTTCCCTTCCCACCTCTCCCATCCTTGTGGCCCACCCAGGTGGCTTTATAGGCTTGGTGCACAGTGATTCTCCTGTAATGGAAACAGGACCATTTAACGGATGCGGGAGATCACGTTGGAGGTCTTAAAGTGATTAAACATGCAGACTGTGCAAATCAGGAAAACGTTAATTTAAAGGGTATGATTAGCTTACAAATTAAAGCAATGTTGAACAGACAGATCTTCCCACTGTAATGTGATAATGTTTGCTAATAATTGTCTCCTTGTCTACCACCCCTTCTCCCTTTTTTGGATGCATAGGATGCAATAAATGAAAATAATCTTTTAAAAAACTGTCAATCAGTCCCAGTGCTATTGAAATAAAGTTACTTAGCTGTTAATCAGAAACATAAATTTTAGGAAAAGCATGTCTAAAGCTTACTTAAATAAGTCAGCAAAATTACTGGAAACATAGTAGGGGGTGGTCCTTTAGAAGCCACCTCATTGCTCCTACATTTCATAGCTTTGGAAAAGTTGACACAGATGCCTATGCTTCTGTATTGCAATGTTATAGTAGAACTTTGCCACAGCACCGTAAGTGAGGTCCAAGCAATTCCACTGAATAAAATGTGGGACACACATCACAAGGTTAATGAAACAATCGAGTAAACCTGGTTTAGAGGACAGACGTCAACTGCCAGTCATGAGTCTTTTATACCCAACAATTTTATGGGGTTTTATGGAAAATCCAAATCCTAAGGGAAAGAAAGCAGAGACTTTCTTCTCCTTACTTTTGATTTACGAGCAATGGTAATAATGGCTAATGTGAAATAGTGTTTACTGTGTGCATGATCCTTGTCTTAGTACTATGTACAATATCCAGTTCTCACAACTCTTTGAGGTATAGAAAATTATTATTTCTATCTTAAAGTTGAGGAAATGAGAGCTAGAAGAAATGGAATCATTCAAAGGGAGTCACACAGTCTAACTCTAGGGCCAATACTCCTTGGTTGAGACACTGCACTGTTGTCTTTGTTTTGCCTTTCCATCTAGCATTATTTCTTGCTTATCCAAAAAAATTAGTAAGCCAGACATCCAATTCTTTGAGTTTTCAACTGAAAGAAGAGTTATTGTTATTAGCTTTTGTGTATTATTTCTTTTTAGTGTGTAACACTCCTATTACATATTAAAAGCAGAATTGAAATAATGCACACCAATAAATACTTGTTGATAGGACAAGATTTGACAGCAAAATAATAACTTATAAGAAATTGGAAAATTATGTTCTTGCTAAATAAAATTCAGAAGTCACCATCATAAATAATGTTCTTTGGAGGAACAACTATGTTTCGAGTTCTAGCTTCTAAGATGAAATTGGATGTTTTAAAAGTCATACACATCCGTTTGTTTTATCATTAAACTAAACAATTTGATTACAGAGTGAAACTCTGAGGACTTCAGAACATAGACCAATTTCATTGTGAATATTTAAATCAGAAAATTATAATATTAACTTTCCAAACAGATTGAATACATGAAGTATCATGTTCAGTTTAATCTGCTCTGCATAGTAAATTAATAAAGTTTTAAATAATCTATGCCTAAGCATATGTTTGAATTTAAATAATCCTTTTTCATATTTATAACGATCATGTGTTGCCTCCTGTATAATGGCTTAAAGGTTTTGTTATCCTCAATTTATTTCTAAAAGCTGCATGCAGAATTATAGGATGCAGATTCATTGTCACTGCCTGTTCTTCCATTGTCACTAGCTAACATGGCAATTAACCAAATGTTGGGATTGAGAAAAGCCCAGAGAAATAGTCTTTTGGATTTCTCTTGGACTCACTTCTTTCTAGGATATTATGACCTTAAGAGGCTGCAAAGCTAACAATATTTGCAGCTGAGGGGAACTTGATGTTCCTCTTTTGCATACTAGTGTGTTTGTCCATCAAAATGATTGTATTAGTCTTCTGAACAATTTCAGCATTGCTTGTTGGTGTTCACAAAAGAAAGAGAGAAAAAAAGGAAAAAGGTCATTTGAAAAACAGGTCACAAAAGGGCCAAAATCGAGACAGTTAAGTATTTGAATTTACCACCCACAACCCAACCCCTACCTTCCCCCCAGACTGTCACATAGCCTTCTCTTTATCACTAAGACTTAAGTCCATTATGATGGATAGAAAAAAAGCTGAAACTAGATTTTATGTGTGTGCGTTTGCTATTATTTCTATTAATGTGACCTCCATTGGGATGAAAAAGGAGTTAAACATCACAGTAATCTGCAGGAAAGTGTGGGTGGGTGGTCAGTGACAAAACCACTGACAATAGATGGTATTGTGTGAGGGATCCCTCAGCCCTTCAGGCAGGTACAAAGGCTCCTAATGAGACAGGAACCAGCCTAACAAGATAGGGCCATCCGTAAGTCCCCTGGCCTAACAAGGTAGGGCCCCTAATCAATCGGCAAGCTGGGAGAATCAGACAGAGACTACCAAAATCCACATTCTGCAGCCTCTGGACTCTCCAGGGCTTACATATGTGCCCTAGTACCCAGGAGTCCACTGAAGGTGACCCTAGCCCCATTAGCACAGTAAAAATCACACCCAGGGGTGGGGAGCTAGCATGCTAATGACATATGCATTGCATATAGAAGCATGCTACATGACAGTGCAGGCACAAGCACAACTCCACCTCTAGAGGCCATGACAGGCACTCCTCACTCCTCCCCAGCCTTTGTCTAATCAAAGCCCCACAATCCCATTCCCTAAGAAGCCGGTCACCTGTCACCTTCCTTTCTGCACTGGCTCTCTTGTGCCTCCTCCCCTGCGCGTAAACTTATAAACTTTTACTTTTCTGCTCCGGTTTGTTGTCTCTCTTGACTTCTGTCCTGGGGGACAATAAGAACCCAATGTGCCCGTAACACTAACAGTGCATTGCCCCGTTAACTCAGCTCTGCTCACCTGCAGAGGACCCCTGCTGTCTGCCATTATTCCATAAAGGAGGAGGCAGGGCAGGGAGCAGAAGGAGGAGAAGGAAGTGGAGACCAGAGGAAGTGAGAAATGAGATGGAGTCTAGAGCCCAGCGGCTCATGAGGAAAAAGACTTGAGGGGCCAGGCCGGCCTGGATTTGCCTCCAGTGTAGGACTGCAGCCTGCATGAAGATGTCTAACCTCCCTGAGAGTCAGTTTCCTCCTAAAATGGGAAGAGCACTACCTGTGAGGCAGGACTGAAGGAGGATTGGAAATGAGCCTCTAAGGGCCTGCTGTAAAAATGCACAGGAAATAACACCTAGTATTCTTTGCTAAACATAAACCGATAAATAGGGGAGATTTTAATGTGAATTTTGGGGAACAATCCTTTCTCTCCAAAACTAGGGAAACTCAAGCCATAAATAACAGCATCTACTGACTAAAATGATTTTCAGTGCTATCAAGTTAATTAAATAAACTATATAAAAGCAATTGAATGATTTATAAATGTGTTTATGCCAACAATCAACAGCTCCAGCTACAATATTCTTTCCTAAGTAAGCTATAAGAAATAAAGATCTATCAATCTACTAAAAAGTGATTCATAGTACATGCATGCCATTCGATGAAACACATTTTTTGTTTGTTTTGAATTCTGCGTACTAAACTCCCAAGCAACGCCACCTCATTTGAATCCTTGTAATTCCTTAGAAGAATATCTGTAATTAATCTGGTAACATGTGAGAATCAAAAGATACTTTACCATGTTCCAGTTTCTGTTTTGAACTAAGTCTCCACTCCTCCCTATTTCTCCCCTTCAAAGTCTGAACTTTAGCAACTGCAAATTCCTATTCCAATGTGTTCAATATTAAATACCTTACCTTTTAATAAAGATATGCTTTCTATTAGAAAGATTTCTATAAACTTTCTCAAGACCAAACAAAATACAAATATCTTCATATACAATAATTCAGGAACTTTTCGATCTTGTTAGAGTTTAATTGGGTATCTGAGATTTTAAAAATGTTCAGTTTAACTCTTTAGGATAAATTATTCAGTGTGAAAATTGTTTTACAAAATGTTGTAACTTTCACCATCCAAATGCCTACTGTTATGGTCTCTCTGTAGCTGCACAGGAGGTCACCGACTATATTTAGAAACAACACGAGTTCCCAGACATCTGCTATATAATTTACAGAGAGAGAGCCTGCCCTGTTCTGTAAACATCACATTGCCAGAGCAAAAACATTCACGGTTTAGACATATACAG